GGTCGAGCTCGAGGCAACGCTCTGTAATGACGGGGTGTGCCGAGAATTTGAATTAGCTCGCCGTTAGTTTGAAGAAAGAGTGAGTCGGGTTAGAGAGAGGAGCCATTTTGTCCCGACTGTTTAAGAGAAAAGAAAGAGCGTTTAACAGGAGTCACACGGGAGGATAGCCTATTTTTCTGCTTACTTTTCTCATGCGGTAGAAAAGGAAAAACTGTTGGAGTCGGGATAAATAGACATATTGGACACGTCTACTGACACGTTATTTGGGTGGTGTTTAGCCAACTAGCTCTCCGAAGCTAATCAACCAATCCCAGATTGTTAGCTGTTAACAGTCCAGTGGATTCTGGGCGGTTGGTCAGATTGTGTTGGAGCTGGCTTGAGACTTCACCCACGCACGCAAGGTTGTCACTTTTTGTTGAAAAATAATCACACACACACGCTGTTCTTCAATGGCGAAGAAAACGTACGACTTGCTGTTCAAGCTTCTTCTGATCGGAGACTCGGGCGTGGGGAAAACCTGTGTGCTGTTCCGCTTCTCGGATGACGCCTTCAACACAACCTTCATCTCCACAATAGGTAAGAAAAGTAGACAGTGCTGTGTCAGTATAAAAAACTTGTTGTTTTGACAACTCGGAAACAGGACAGACAGCTGCCCTTCAGGCTGGACTTGGCAGGTTCAGTTAGCCTGTACGGGCTATCAGCTATCGGCATGCACCGCCTCTCCAGGCCTTAGCCGGGAGGCTATGAGGTGTTTCTTTACCAGCCCATGGCTAAATCAGATGTCAACCGCTTTCTCCAGAGTCTGGCGCTTTGATTACAACAACGTCTTATAGTGGTGGTTACAGAATGCCAATAATGTCAGGTTGGACCGGTTTGCTCACAAGGAGAATCATTGTCATGACAGTTGACCCAGTAGCTGTGAAGCTAACGGGGCTAAATGTAGCTTCAGAAGGAGCCCTGTCACAGGGCCCTGTTGGGAATACACCAACAAAAGTGTTTCTACTTAAAATTGTGATCATAATCAGAGACTATTTCATGCTCACTGGGTTAGTTAACGTACCATAGCGTTTTGGTTTTCGGACAAATTATAAGCCTCTTTAAAGTCATTGTTTTGGTTTTCGGACAAATTATAAGCCTAGGACTTTAAAGTCCGTTGAATACCTCTAAAAGTGTGAACTTAAACTTTCTTTAAGTCAATTTCGGTTTTTATTCAGTAACTGCTTTTACCACTGCCACAGAGACTGTTCTCCGCATTAACGTCACTGAGTCTCATCTAAGAACACTTACAGCCATTATGGAGAGATAATGTGTTGTACAGTTGCAGTGGTAGGGTGATTAATTGATTAGTCCTCTGAAAGAACATTTATAGTTTCTTCATTGTATGCAATTTCTAATCATAGCTCACCCAGTCATTTTGAGCACTTTGTGTTTAATAATTTCAAAATCTGCAGTGAATGTAAGTTCTAAATGCCACTGTAGGCAGTGTAACATTACCAGTATCTATGGTTGGTACTCGCATACAGAAGGAAATACTTATATAAAGCTAATACACTTAATAATTTTCCATTAATGCTTAGCGAACAACCATAAACAATTCATCATGGTGGCATCATCTGTCCCCCCTTTTCACCCTGTGTCCTCTCCGCATGCGTCCATCATCATGCTCACATGAGTCAAGTGTCAAGCTATGTGAAATCCCTGCACAGTCCATGTCACGGCTCCATTTACCCCTGTTGCTTAAGATCAGCCCTGAGTAATAAAGTAATATTAGATGAGGTTTGCTCAACCTACTTATGCTTCCGTGCTGGGTTGTTAAAAACTCAAGTATGGACATACAAACTCTCTTGATTCTCTGGCAACAACATGCAAGCATAATGGCAATAGTGTTCCCATAGGCATGCAGTCTAGCTTGGATGTTTAGGTACAACCCTAAACTATGAGCTGGGTTGCGGAGCTTGTTGATACATGCCGATATTGGCGTGTTTGTATTTGTTATTGTCACTGTTTTGGCCTTGCTTTGTCTGGTAATCAGTCTATTATCTTTGTAATATTGCTTCCTTCCTGAATTCCTATACTCCATCCTGTTGTCAACAGAGGCACACCACAGAAGCACTTTCTGCTCAGTGAACAAGATATGATGTTGGTGAGATGCAGAACGTCATACTAGGTGACATTTGCCCCTTGCAGTGACTTTTACATTGGAGTGTAAAAACAAAAGGGAAAGAATGATACACTGGAAGTCACATTGTTACACCCCTCCGAAAAGTGGCTGGAAAGAAGCAACACCTTAAAAAGTACATTATGGTGTTATTCAATCACAAGATCATCTCTTGTCTTGTTTTCATATCTGCACTCTGAGAGAAATCCGAAAGAGAGTTCAAGCAGAGTATAGTCCAGTATATGGGATCGGTCATAATTTGTAATGTAATAACTGGATGTCTCTTGGACAGCAGACCATTGTTACTGCTTTTGTTCTCCACCAAAATGTGGTTATTCTTCAGCCGTGGCAGGTTATAAATTAATATGAATCTTTCTACATTCTGTTGCTTAATATTATGGCCCGAGGCAACTGTACACTAACTTTTATTTACATGTCAGACATAAGTAAATATTAAAGGAGACTGACATTTCTGTTGGCATTGATGGGAATTTTCTGTACTTTGCAAATGCTTAGGTCCAAACACACATTGAGCAGAATTAAAATAATGTTGAACTAAAGTGTACTTAAAGTGTGTAAACCTGACATTACATAAATTGATGTGTCATTAGCCTCATTCTTCTTCTCCTTACTCTTTCGGTCACTGGTAAATCTGGACTATCCCTGGTTTATAAACTTTCTGTGGTGGGGAAAAAAACTCAGTTTCAGTTCTTGCAAAACAAAGATTTATAGAAGTATGTCGTGACTTGTGGTTTCTTATTTCTGAGTTGGCGTTATTATAGGATGTGTGGTTTCTAATAGCTGTGTAATTACTGGACGTCGTAAAGCTGTTAAGAAAAATGATCACTGAGTGCTGTGAGGCTGCATGTACTGAATAGAAAGTGGTTAACGAGAAATAAAAAAGAAATGAGTATTCTTGAAATGAAATCTTCTGAGTCAAACTTTCAGCTCAAACTGCTGACAGAACAGTTCAACAAAACGGATGCACGATATGTTACAATAAGACAACAGTCTGTTAGAGGGAGGAGATATTTGATTTCATAGTGTGTACAGTTCATGTTTTTTTTTGCAGATCTATCTTTCATCTGTCCTTGCAGTCAAGAAAGGACAGCATGAACTTCTTCTACATGTCACCTGTATGACTGGACCTGCTCTGGGACACTTTAGCCAAACTAAGCCCAGACAGTCTGAGGGGAGACAGGGTTAAATAAGAGGCAGCAGAACCAGGGCACTTTAAAGACGAAGTGTGTCTGACACAGTACTCATACCTTTGGAGACACAGATGCACAGCTGCTTCTCAAAATACTCATGCTGGAAATCCCCCCCCCCGACCCCCTTCTATCCTTCAACTCTAATCAGTCACTCATCCTCATTTCCAATCCTTCCCAATTTCCCTTTCTGTGCACACACAAACCCCTTCGTCTCTCAGAAGTTATGCATATTAAGACCGGCTGAGTATGCATGAAGATGCAGTCTGAAATGCCTCTCGACAGCACGTCAGGAATCCTGCGTGGAAACTGGTAGAGGGATACTGTGGGATTCATTTCTGTGGAAGGAATGGCTCCTTTTTGGACTTGTGTTGTGCATTAGACTGTAATAAAAAGTCTCTCTTGCTTTTTGGAAACGTTGCCCACTCTAGCAATTGTCAGTTTGATATTCTGTGATTGTGAAACACTGCTGTTCTCTGGACAACCTGCCAATGCAACCCACCAGGGAAAAGCCTGTGTTTTTATGACTCACCAATATTTACACAGAATCCACCCTCACCCAAAGTTTCTAGTTTAGTTGTAATTACTGGCAACAAAGGTCATGTTTTGGTTTGAAAACAGTCATAAGCAAGACTGTTTGTAATTTGCAAAAGCCTCCATAACTGCCCTCCCTTTTCCTCCACGTCCCTCTGTCCTTCTATCCATTATACCTCTTCCTTCCTCCCTCCCTCTCTCTGGGGTGTGAATAATATTTAGTGAGTCATACTTTGGCAACCAGGTCCTTCATTATTCTGTGACCCTGCCCCACCTAGAGCACAGCTGTTTCTCCGTCTTTTTCACCGAGCGCCGGGTCTGAGCGGGGCAGTTCTGACAGCTCAGCGTTCAACAGGAAGATGTTACTCAATGTCCAAAGGCGGAAAAAAAACGTAGTGAATCAGTGCTGACAGGCCTCACAGCAAACAGTCCACATAAAGAACTGGATTGTTGTGGCAAACAACAAACTCCTTTACAAGAGACAATCCTTAGACGGAAATTGAGTAAAAAAGAAAGGAAAAAAATATATATATCAAACTGCACTTGATATGATGTTCCAGTTTACAAAGCCTCAGATAAAATTAAGTAAAATAAAATGTCAGCATAAAAAAAACTTCCTCAGACTTTCAGATGCATCATTGTATCCTTAATAATTTATTCCAAAATCCAATGAATAGAGAAATTGAGAATAATGCCTCCATGGTTTTCCACAACTGAACAGATGGCTGTTATTATAGAGCATTCTGAAACAAACACATGGGAAAAAATGCTTTCCCTCAAAAACTCAGTCTTTGTACCAACCATGTCAGACATGATTCATTCATGTCAAACTTCACAGTATCAGGTTTCCCACAGTCTTCTTTGGAGCATTTTTCTTTTATATTATTTCATTATGACGTGTGTAAACGTGTTCTCACTTTTCATGCCGTAGCCTGGTTTTTCTCTCCGTCTCTGGCCTTGTTCCTTCCTGCTTGTGTGTGCACAGACTTATTGTTATCCAGCTGCTCATCCCATAACTCTCAGCTGATAGGCTCAAGGTCCGGGCATGACACTGCAGAACGAGGAAGTGAAAGAGATGATGGAAACAGCTGGGCTCGCTTTCCATTTTCCTTCTCTGTAGAAACAGCTCGGGCTTTTTCTCTTTCCTTGTTGTTGTTGTTGTCATCTTTATTATTCCTGTTGCCAGGTTTTCTTTTTTTTAATTAATTTTTATAGGTCAGAGCAAAAATTTCTAGGCCTATACTTTTTTTTTTAAAGCTGTTTGTACTGATGTTCGTGTTTTGTCTTGCAGGAATAGACTTCAAGATCAAAACTGTCGAATTGCAAGGAAAAAAGATCAAACTACAGATATGGTAAGAATTTATTTATCTTATTATTTTTTCCCCTCGGGTTGTGTATTATCTGCAATGGTTGGATGACGGCAGATCTTTCCGGACAGAAAGTTATTATATTTTAGGTACTTGCCAGACAGACATGTGACAGACACGGTTCACCTGAGGAGGATTATAAAGTGTGTAAACCTGGTTCAACCTGATGGACTTCAGTTGTTAAACAGGCTTTGTGAAACCCAGTGCATAAAAGAAAATGGTCCCTTCTGGTGTCCACAAGTCACAGGCTTTGATGAACCTATGTCTCTATAACTGCCTCTGTTGGCAAGCAGTGGAATTGCATTCGACTTTCTATCATCAGATGATTCATTTTGTATGATCTGTTGTAGTTGGAGGTTTAAGAGAATTAAACAACAAATCAGTCACTGAGTGGTTGTCCCCTGTTAACAAATCACTGGATGCTGGGTTTAAAAAAAAAAACAACCGCAACTGACAAGAAGGATACACACAAGAAGAACAATCTGTCTGAAATGTTTGTTGTTTGTTATTTTGTTTTTTAGGGACACAGCAGGTCAGGAACGGTTCCACACAATCACCACCTCCTACTACAGAGGAGCCATGGGCATCATGCTGGTCTATGATATCACCAACGCCAAGAGCTTTGAAAACATCAGCAAATGGCTGCGCAACATTGACGAGGTGAAAAAGGATGCTGATTTAATTTGTGTCTAAATGGACAAAAACAAATTACAATATTGATCTATAACTTACTCTTTCACTGTCATCTTAAACCAGTCTGTTACAGAGTAGTTACGGAGCTAAATCCGATAAATGTAACATTTACATTTGCCTTAGATACCTGTCGTTATGTTCCAGGGCTAGTTTGACTATCAGACCAGACAAGCTGCCTGTGACATATGGATGGTTTGTTCTGCCGCTGAGTGCTACCCTGTGTGACGTAGATGTCTCTCTGTGGGTGATGATGAGTGGTCACTTCAATATCTTCCTTTCTGTGGCGCTATTCAACACCCCGGCCATTTAATCCAGTTGGAACACAGTGGATTTTTACACCTGACCTCTGTTGTTACACCTATTACTCACTGATAAGGACTCTGTAGGAAGAGGAAACACTGCTTTTCCTGCAGACATGGCTCTTGGTATTGTTGAATATTAGCCCGTTGACAAAGAATGTGTTGGTTTTGGACTAGGTTTTTATATATGGTGGTTTCCAAGCTTTTCTGCAGAAACCCTTCTTGTAGTAAGGTGCCGCCCTTGTAAACTTTTAGCAGCGATCAAAGATTAACAAACTTCCTTTTCCCCTAATAAGAAATACCAAAGAAATAATCAATAGATGCACAAAGATACTCGTGTGAAATAGCTGTAAAAGTCAAGTTTGTTGTTGTAGAAGTCTGCTAATAATTTTCTTTTGTCTTTTTTTTCCCCCAGCATGCGAATGAGGACGTTGAAAGGATGCTGCTAGGCAACAAGTGTGACATGGAGGACAAGAGGGTCGTACCAAAAGCCAAGGGAGAGCAGGTAAGATGGAGCACAGAACCCCCGCATCAATGCACCTCTCAAATGTTCTGATTGGCTCAGTTGTTGCTGGCCGTTTTGCAACTGTGAAATCAGTGCATGGTCTTAACTGCAAAAATATCTCGTGATCGTAAAGTTTTCCTGCGTTTAACTCCGCTTCAGTGTCATCTCTTCACACTTGATGGCGTGTCATGTAGCACCAGCAGCGTTGTCAGCTTTGGCTTCATTCAATGTGATGAGATTATGATGTGAATGTGTGGCAGAAGAGAGAGAGAGGCATGAAGTCCTAGTGTTGTGACACACGGAGCACATGACTGATTCAATAGGGGAAAGCAGTATTATTAATGAAACTTTTTTTTTTTTTAATTAAAGCTCAGTAGTACAGAAGTTGCAGAGATAAAGAGAGAGACGGTGCATATTGTGTTGCTGTATTGTGTATGTTTGTGTGGATTCTGATTGGACAGTTTTGTTAGGCTTTCAGTGGGGACGGACTTTTATCTGTTTTCCCTGGAACTCAATTATCCAGTTTCACCAAAGCGGAAAAAGACAGTGTTTAATGTAGTGTTTACAACATTCGTAAATATCAAGTTAAGATGTGGAAAATGTTTAACTTTTTAACTGAGATTTTTTGGCACCTCGAACAACCAGAAAGCTGTTTCATTCTGTGACTCAGGAACAGGTCTGGTCCACTTTTCCCTGCTGTGTTTAGATTTTGTACATTCAGCTTAAAGTCTCTGTTTGCTCAGGCAGAACAAGTGAAAACATGAGTAGGTGACTCCTGGCTCATGTGCTGCCGTAAACTTGCCGTGACTAGTCGGGCTGCAGAATTAGCAACATAAGATACACATCTGAACGCGCGCACACACACATTTGACCAGAATGATGTGTGTTTGGGTTGGAAACGGTAGCGATACTTGATCCGTTTTTCCAGCACTCCGGCCACCAGTCACTTTTTATTTTTGGACGGAACCTTGTTAAAGTGTTTTTCCTTTGCTTGTCTTCCTAAACTCTCGACTCTTCTGTCTCTCCACAGATTGCGAGGGAGCACGGCATTAGGTTTTTTGAAACGAGTGCTAAGGCCAACATCAACATCGAGAAGGCGTTCCTCACGTTAGCAGAAGACATCCTCAAAAAGGTGCGTCTGGGTCAACAGTTCTGTCACCTTTTTAGAGCCACTTCTAATGGTCTGTGTAGAATTTCATGGAAACAAAACCACGTGGAGCATGAACCTGTGTGTCTGTGTCTATACGTTTTTTTTTGTTGATCATATTGAGATATATTCATTCTGCCTGAAAAATATCTGTCACATTTTCCAAATGTTTCTGGAAAATGCTAACTCTTCCCAAGTCCAGCACTGATCCAGAAACAGTTTGAATTGTATTCACTAAAAAAATGTTAATTTGAACTTTTTGGTGTAAAGAGAATTTATCAAAATGGACCTGCTGATATTCCGTTTTGCCAATCACATCTACGTTCACGTCAAATCACAAAATAACGTCACTTCTCTCTGTTCCGTCCTCTGCAGACACCCGTAAAAGAGCCCAACAGTGAAAACGTCGACATCAGCAGCGGAGGCGGAGTCACAGGATGGAAGAGCAAGTGCTGCAGTTGAACGACTGTTTAACTCGTACTAAAGCACACACACACTTACACTCTCTCTCACTCTCTCTCTGTCTCTCTCTCGATCTCTTACTCTCTTCCTCTTTCTCTCTTTTTCTCTAACTGCTAACTCTCTCTCGCCCTCTAACCCATCTCATAAGTTTTCCTTGCACACTGACACACTGTCTCTTTTATCAGAAGAAAACAATAAAACACTTCACCTGTTTATCCTCCTCCACCAAGTCCACCCTCCTCCCTATGTCCATGTTTTTCTTTCTCCATCAAATCATTTAATTTCAAATAAAATACCGAAATTCACGTTTTGTTGTATGTTTTAAAGGCTGTCAAACAAAAAGCGTGAAAAATACAAAAGATCATGTTTTTATTATATCCTTTGCCTGGACTTCATCCACCCTTAAGCCTCCAGCTCCCTCCCATCCTCCCTCCCTCCCTCCTAACCCATACCACTCACCTTCAGCCAGAGGTTATAAAAGTTAAAATTGAAAAAAAAAGGAGATAAATTTAGGATTAACATTTTGTACATTCTGTGAGGTTTCTGTTTGTCTAACCATCTTCAGCCATTTAACAATTTGTTACCGAGTGACAGAGGCGTGGCCAGCTCCTTTTGTATGTGGGGTTTATTTTGTCCTGTGCCTTATATGGAAGACAGGGGCGGGGGCTGTGTGGTGGGCGGAGCCACATCCACCCTAAGGAAATCACACTTTATTAATCTGTCGGTTGGGGTCCGTTCCATCAAAGATGCCGAAAGCCGAAGCAGAAACGTTTGAATTTCTCCTCCAGCCAAGAGAACGGCATTATATTAATGTTTAATTTTGTCTGTATGATTTATGTTACCTTTATGATTTGTTTTTTTTCTTTTCTTTTCCCTATTTTTTTTTTTTTTTTTTCCTGCATGCGGATTTCTTTGGGTTGGAAGCGTTTCTGTAACGTTGTTGTAACCTTTGCCACTGGGTAACTGTGGGAGGGAGGTACAGAAGTTCTCTTTGGAAATTCAAACAATTTTGCAGATCCATTAAAAAATAAGCTTGTTTAAGTTAAATTGTTTGTGATCAATGTTGTCACATGTGTGTTAAGTGTCATGGTTTCTTCAGCTGTGCTGGGTTTTTAAACACTCAAAGCAGCGACAAAGGCTGGTTTTGCCCATTCAACAAGAAATATTTGGTCAATAAACTTAATTAACTTAATTTTTATGCATGGAGGATATTAGTTAGTTTTCCATTGAATATTTTTAGATTAACATTCAAATTTAATTGCTTATGGAATGTCAATAGAACATTTGGTTTGATGCACAAAGTGGTATCAATGTTTGATAAAACTTTAGCTGGTTGTTTTTAATGTCTACGCTGCATCTCCGATAGAGGGCGCCAGAGCACTTAGAGTTTGATACCGGTATGGAAGTCACGTGAGCAATGTAAATCAACTGACTTACACGAGAAGGCTTTGATTTATTATTCATGGACAGTTATTAGAGAATTAGTCATAAATAGAAGAATAAAACATCGACATGATTTATCTAAATTGTCTAAATTCGTCACCACCAGCGATATATAACCACTTGAGATTTTTCAACGTTGTCGGTGAAAACGAGTTGGCCAGAAATCGTGTGCCGTAACAATTTGATTCCTGCTACTAGACCTTACCAATCCCAGAATGCAGTGCGGACACACGGCGGGAAAAATAAAACCAGAAACTGCGACTCCGATGGATACTAATTGATGTAAGTATTATTATTATTAAAATAATTATTTTACAAATTAAACGAGTTGGCCAGAAATGGTGTGCCGCAACAATTTGATTCCTGCTACTAGACCTTACCAATCCCAGAATGCAGTGCGGACACACGGCGGGAAAAATAAAACCAGAAACTGCGGCTCCGATGGATACTAATTGATGTAAGTATTATTATTATTAAAATAATTATTTTACAAATTATATTTACAATTAACATATAATTGGAAGTTAACATGACATCACATTAGACGAAGTTAGTTTAGTAATTAGTCGTGAAAGGTGACAGGCAATTTACGAGTATGGCGTTGGCGTCTACCTTTACAACAGCGTTTTGCTTCCGGTGGTTTTGCGTCCAAAACGGTTAGATATTTGTGCATACATAGTAGACCAATTAATAAATGATAGTTCGTGAATAATATTCATCTTTAATCTTTATGGCTTTATCCAATTGTAGTTTTAAACTCTTGTATTTTAGTTCCTGTTTCTGGGTCATTATGTCCGTTTATTCTTTGGTGCCCTCGTGTGGTAACTTGCAGGAACATTAGCCTGGAAAAGGTGATGATAGACCTAATCGAATTAAAAAACATGCGTCACGATGTGTCAACATTAGTAGACAAACTAAATAAGTGTTAATATTTGATACATTATTTGAAGAGGCAAAAAATCTCAACAAAACGAGGCTTGTCCAGATGTTCTTTACATTCTTTATTAAATCCCCCTCTTTCCCGTTTCCCCAGAGAAAATAATGTACACAAAAATAAAAACTCTCACTCAACAACGAAAACACAAAAACCAGTGCAGAATGCCAGTGGTCACTGTTACGTCCAGAGAAACTACATTCAAAGAATTTTTTTCCCATATCTTTATGACAAATTACAGCGGGTTACAGAAATCCTGATGATGGATATTTTACAAAAGAGCAGCATTTCTTCCTACCGACAGTCCATTTTTTTATTTTAGTGTTTTTACTTTTATAGAGACATACAATTATATGTAGTGTAGCTGCAGTTTCTCAAAGGTTTAGTATAAAAATACATTAGGAGAGAAAAAAGCTTCTACATGATAGTCATGTTAAGTCCCATGATAAATTGTTTGTTTCTGCTTTAAAATAAAGTGGAAATAACACCAATGTAGTGCTTTGGTTTTGAGGTGAAAGAGATGGGTACTGTTCACATTTGATTTTAACAGTACCTTAAAAGAAGTTCTGATGCCCAAAAGGTAACATTTGAGAACACTGTACGCTGTTTCCGGGCCTCTGCAGTGAAAACAAAAATAGTTCCTAGTGCTGCAGAAAAACACGACTTAGGGTATGGATATTTGGCAACTACTTCCTTGTGCTCTGGACCTACCATTACCAACCAAAGTTGGTACTGTTAAGTACCAGGTTGAGTACCCATCTCTAAGAACAAAATGTGTCAGAAAATGAAAGGAGCTTTAAAATACCTTATAAATGTCCTGTGAGCAAGTGTTTTCTAAGTGTAAAGAGACAGAACTACAAAACATTCATGGCAGCAGCAGCGACACTGACCAGGGCCTGCCCTAAAGAAAAAAGAAAAGAATAAAAAAAAAACAAAAAAAAAAACAGACAGGAAAGAGAAATCTATTTACATCAAGTGTCATGTGTACAACTTAAATTATAAATACATTTTAGGTATAAATTAGAAAAATAAAAACAGCAAAATCTACTGTAGTCCAATCAAACTAAGTCTACTTTTAAAATGCCAGTCTGATTATTTTAACTCTCTGTATATTTGGTAACAAAAAAAAAAGATCAAAAGGCACAACAATCAATTACAACCATTTAAAACCCTATGTCACAAACTAAATCCCCCATCACTGACATTAGAATATAAATTAAGATTTTAAAAAAAATCCAGCATCTATACTTTACATTACTGCTTACAGTCTTAAAAATAAAAAATAAGGCTTTGTTTAAAGGGTCTGTGTGACATCATCAAGGAGAGTGACCCTGATTTATTATTTCCCATTAATGTTATCTAGGCAGCATTATTTCTCATACAGTAAAAGAACAACTTTGAGGTCAAATATAGAGACTTAAGGGTCTGTTATCAAAATAAATATTAAAAATGAAAAACCCTTCTGTTTTTAGGGGAAGGAATGTGTAGATCATTTATAGAAATCAGTAGGTGGCAGAAATGCAGCTAAAAGGATTACAGCTGCCATCATAGAACTATAAGACTATAAAAACTATTGGTCCATTATTATCCTAGGTGTTGACGCACTTAATTAAAATTCAAATCAAATTTGTTTCTGGTCTTAAGCTTTATATTGATGTATAAACAGAAGAGACGTTAAAATCCTCTCTAAAACCTCACTGCAAAGAAAAAGTGTTTTCCCACAATATAAAGTTGTGTCCTTAAATTTGATGGCGCTAAGTTATGTTTACTTTTAAAACAAAGGTCTGTTTACATGTTGAGTGTTAGACGCAATACGACAACAATACTTTCCTCTGTATGTACTGCTGCAGCGTCAAGCTTTTGAATGTGAATGGATGTGCAGTGTTAGTCCAGTGAAGTGGAAAGATGCAAACAGGCTGGAGAATGGATTAAAACACAGGAAAGCAAACAAAGTGTTTCTGGAGTAGAGATTCTTCTTCTAGGATCATCTAGTGCTGTATGCCCCTACCCTAGGTGCTTCTAAATAATATTGTCTCCTGTGGGCTTCCACAAACATGACTGAAAACTAAAGCCAAGAATCTGCCCTGTGATACGATTCTGCTTGGTAGGTGCTACATGGCCAAATGTTTACAGCAGAATGTTGGCTCCTTTCTGTCAGTTTAGACAAGCTTTGTTAGGTTTATGGTCTAGACTTATGGTCTACAGTCTACATAAATTTGGACAGTTCTGCTCCAAAAGACAAAAAGGAACCAGTAGTATAATTAACATTGCCTCATGTCTAACCATGATGACCAAGCAAGGCAGGATGTTAATATTAGAAACCAAAATAAGAAAAAGTTTCTAAATGCTGTACTGTTGTAGCCTCTCCACTGATGTGCACATTCTCGCACCCTAAAGACCTAAACAAACTGTTTACAGGCCACTCAGTGACCTCGGTGTCTACACGTAGACCAGTTCCCGGCCCTGAGCGGCTGAGCTGCCAGTTGCCTCCTGTGCTGGACTCTCCGTGTCCGCCTCGTCCTCGTTGTAGCCCTCCTCGTACTCAATGGGTTTGGGGCAGCTGTACGGGTGGCCGTTGTCGTCAAAGAAGCGCCGGAAGGTGAACTCGTAAAAAGCATGCTCTGGATGTTTGCCGTTGCGGAACCAGCCGTTGAGCGTGTCGTTGTGCTTGTCCTCGCCATCGCTGTCGCTGCTCCACATCTTTTCCGGATCCACCGGGTCAAAGTTGGAAGTGTCCGTGGAGTGGGCGATGGTGGGGATGTAGAGTGCAACCTGCTGCCTTATGTCACCGGAGAAGTCGATGGATTTGAAAAAAGGGTGTGCTTTGATTTCATCAGCACCGTTTTTGCCCAGGCGGTCCTCTGGGCCGCGGCACAGTTTGACAATGAGATCAGATGCCTCGGGGCTGAGCTTGGCTTGTGGGGGAATGTGCAGCGTGCTCTTCCAGTTTATCACCTGGTGTCGACACACACACACATAGACGGTATTAAGAAACAATGAACCCTGTGGACGCATAACATTTCACTGCAAGTGCCAAACATACCTTCAGCTGCGTCTCCAGGGGTGTGGTGGCTAAGAAGGGAGGCTGTCCCACAACCATTTCATACAGGATGACACCAACGCTCCACCAATCACAATGCTGCGTGTATCCTGACAAGGCAAGATTGTAAAAAAAATATGTTAACATAACTGCAAATTCCTGACAAGGCAAGATTGTAAAAAAAAGGTCAAAAATATGTTCTTTCTTTTAACTTTAAAACTAGCATTAATAAGAGTTTACGAATTGTCACTGACCTGTTCGGAGCAGAACTTCAGGTGCGATGTAGTTGGGCGTTCCCACCAGTGAATGGGCCAGACATCGCTGGTGCTGACGGGCCTTTCTCCTCTCCAGAGGTTTTAGGCGATCTGTGCAGCGACAGTTAGCTGGATCTTCCCATTCTTTACTGAAGTCCATGCTGTCCTGCCTCACATGGTCTCCTGGAGACAAAAAAAACACCACAATTGTTCATGAAAAACTGATTAAATCCTCTAAGACCAACATCAATAACAAGCTGCAGTATAACATGTTCAGTAACACTAACCACTCTGGTAATACTTGGAGTCATGTGTCCAGCGGAAGCCGGTACACAGCCCAAAGTCGGTGAGCTTTATGTGTCCATCTCGATCAATGAGGATGTTGTCGGGTTTGATGTCCCTGTGGATGAAGCCCATCCTGTGGACACTCTCCACGGCACAAGTGAGCTCCGCTATGTAAAACTGCGCCAGCTCCTCTTTGAAGATGCCAAGGCGGATGAGGAGGCTCATCATGTCTCCCCCAGGAATGTACTCCATGACGAAGTACAGGTTGTCCTTGTCTTGGAAGGAGTAGTAGAGACGCACCACCCACTCATTGTCAGCTTCAGCCAGGATGTCCCTCTCCGCCTTCACGTGGGCCACCTGGTTCCTCAGCAGGACATCTTTTTTGCGCAGAGTTTTCATGGCGTATAGCGCCCCCGTGTCCTCTTTCCTGGCCAAACACACCTCGCCGAATGCGCCAATGCCAAGTGTCTTGATCCGTTTGAACATGGACTTGTCCATCTTGGCTCTCTTTAACCGGATATAGTTGGACTCTTTCTGACAGAGCATCATACGCATCTGCTCCTGGGCATCTGAAGTCAGACCCACCTGAGCACAGGGGAAAGTCAGTAACATTGTTAGGGACAAATTACTGTGCAGCAAGGACACACAGTGATGGTTAGACACAAGACGGCATTAGAAGAGTAAACAAGCAAATAAAACCGGATGCAAAAACATGACTCAGATTGTTTCTTTTGTGTCTTTGTGTCATGTTTAGTGTAAAACAAGAATGCAGGAATTTTAAGGGGAGGTGACATTTATGGCATGCATTTTTCTCAGCCCCAGGAGAAACACAGATACAAGATGACAAACGGCAGACTCTAGACGACAGCTTACTTGAGTGACTGATGTGTGTGTGGGAAAATCTGTGCCACAGGCCAACAGACACACTATTACCTTTTTAGGCCAGCTTTAAGTGAGAGCAAGGAAAGACCGGAAAAGAAAAAGAATAGCTCAGAAAAGGGAATTTCAAGATGAAAACAGTTTACGTACAGAATAGTTGAGGAGAAAAAAGTTGAGAAATAGTTTAAAGTTTAAGAAAGTGGTTTTTCTGTGAAATGTGAGAAATAGTTTAAAGTTTAAGAAAGTGGGTTTTCTGTGAAATTTGGTATTGACTTCTCACCCTTTGCATCTCACATTCCAGCTGCTTCCTCCTCCTGATTCTCATCTGATGATTCTTCAGAATGTTCTCCACGTGCTGCTCCATGAAGAACTTGAAGGCCTGGGGCGAGTACAGAGCGACTCTGCCAGACTCTCCCCTTCGTTCCTCATCTTTCGTGTTACGTCGGACAGGCACAGGTGACGTTGTGATCTGTTTGTTCTCCTTTTCTGGGGCTGTGGAACCTTTAGGGGTTTCTGTCGTTTTATCCCTGGAGCTGTCACCGCCTCCGCCGCTGCCGCTCTCATCCTCGGCAGCATCCTCCCTGCCAGGGGTGATCTTATTGCTGCCTGGATCGTACGCTGGAGGAAAGGAGGCGGCAGCTGTCTGCTGAAGGAGGTGTTTAGGGTAAGGTGGGGGTGGGCCCTGGTAGCTGGGTACTTCCACTGTAGGCATCTGGGAAACAGGAGCTGGGGGTTCTGGGTAGGCAGGTGCAGCTGGAGGTGGTGGAGCCTGCTGTACCCACGGAGGGTGTGTGGGTGCAACGGCGGTGTGCAGCTCAGGTTTGTGAACACGCATGCTTTTGACTGGCTGCAGGATGGGAGCCTGGGTGATGGCGGTGACTGTAGTGGCAGAGGGCTGGGAGCTGGCAGGGTGCGGCGCTCGGCCGTTCAGCTGATGGTTGTTGAATGAGTTCGATCGGACGGCCGGCATGTTGTGCTGCCACGATGGGGACAGATCCTGATTGTTGCTGTTCCCGGAGTTTGACTGTTGCTGGCTAGAGACCAGAGTGGGCTGTGACCAGGGCTGAGGTGGAGCTACGTTGCACAAGTCAAGGTTGTGACTGTTCCTGTTGGGTACCAGCATAGACTGAGGGATGTTTGCACCATTCATGTAAGAGGTAGAGGGTGTAGGTCCGCCTGTTTGTAACTGCTGATCGGTGGGGCTATGGCGGCTGCTTTGGTTAACTGGGTATGGAGGTGGGGGTTGACGACTGCCTCCCGTCATGTAGTCTGGCTGTGGGGAGCCGTTTTGAGACCAGCTGGAGGGAAAGTTGAACTTATTTCCTCCAGAACTTTGCATGATGATGGGTTGGTGACCTACAGACACAGGACTAATTCCACGCTGGTTCTGGGAGGCTCCAGTAGTATACCCATCAGGCCAGGCTCCCTGGGGGACTGGAGAGATGCGGGGCACCAGGTAATCCATGTTTCCAGAGTAACGCTTTGTGGATGGGTTGTTGTCCCAGGACGACGCCGGAGCCATTGCGCCACGATTTGGTGGCGGGGTCACGCTGCGCACTTGAGGTGGCAGTGGAGGGTTGACTCTCTGGCTGTTGGCAGGGTGTCCCTGAGGGAAGGCAGGAGGAGGCCCAGGACTGTCAGAACGATACATAATTCCATCTACCATCATTGGAGCATGTCGAGGAGCCAAAGACTCTTTAGAGCCTTTCCAGCTCGGTCTCCTCAGTACAGGCTGTTGCATAAGGGAAGCACCTGTAGACAAAAAAATATAATTAGGGTAAATGATCAGGGTTTTTTAAAGATGAGGTTAAAATTAGTTTGGCCAAATGTTTACCACCCAAAATGGTATAGATATTAACATATTTGCCTTTAAACACTAAAGACCTGGACTACAAACAATAACAACACAAACATTAAAATAGTGAGATTACATATTTGAAAAAAAATATTTTTGAGACACTTTATTGAAAGTCTCTACAATTCAATGTGGAGTAATATCAACCTCATTGGACTGAACCAAAACCCAAGTTTAAATTAAGCCTAAAATTAAAATAAATCAAATGCTAGCACCTTTTTTAAGGTCATAACTCTTGGCCAAACCCGTATTATACATATTATATTAATTTTGTTTTCAACTCTGTCACCCCGGCCACACCCTACAATCGTTGCCAACATTAAATGTGAAGACTGTGGCCATGATTTCCACGTTATCTTTTTCTTGTGACTCATTCTTTTTTGTCTAAGGACATATTGTTACGTCGTTACGCCAATGTCCTAAATTCTGTGAACAATATCAAGTGTGAAAGCAACTGAGATAAAAGATGAATGGCAGCAGAAGCAGTTGTTCCCTGGGGAAATGTTCCTTTTTTTCGTACCTGGGGCTTTCAGGCCTGCTGCGTTGGGGTTGGTGACAGCCATCTGTTCCCTCAAAGAGTCTGGGTAGGTCACCTTTCCCATGTAGTCTAATGTTAAACCTGGATTGCGACTGTTGCTCGGCTGAGGAAAAAAAAAAAAATACTGTACTGTTTAGAAAGAGTGAAGCTGTGAGTTATGAAGAAAAACACCATACTACTCAACAAAGGGCTCTTTATTAGAATTAATAAAAATTGATAAACTCCAGTAAAACCAGGTTAATTCTCTATAAATTGTGATAACTGCTCTACTATTAATCTCATGCCGGTTTTGCACACACTAGCTCAAAACAACAGCAAAAAAACTTAATCTCATGCCGGTTTTGCACACACTCAAAACAACAAAACAAAACACTTGTGTTCTTAGGTGTACAGGCTCGTCATTCCACTTTTCATACCTGTCATTTCCTAAAAAATTCCCTCTGAAACAATGTGCGCCGTGTGATTATGTTTCATTACACAGTTATGTACAGAATGCTATTACTCCATAATCTCGCACAAGAACCTGTCTTGGAGATACATAAACACACAAGAAAACACTCCTCACCTCCTCAAACCCTGCACATGGAGGTTCCAGTGACATGTGTTTGTTCATCTCCGAGGCTGAAGTGTTGGGTTCATTGGCAAAAGGCATCAGGGATTTACGGATCTCCTGTAAGGCCTTATGGTATGGGTTTTTGGGGTTAATGCACCGCCCCTGTTGCCTGGGATCCTCGGGAGGCATCTTTCCTGCTCCACCTGTATCTACTTTAGGTGGTTCAGAGGGTTTGGATAAGTTGCGCAGGCTGTTTCGTATTTCCTGCAGCATTTGCTGGCTGTTGCCGCTGTAGTTGCTGGCAGGGAACGTCTTGGGCCTCATCTGTCTGTATCCTTCGGGCTTCTCTCCCCTCTTCATGAAAAAGCATGTATGGGGACGATGAAGGGGGGAAAAGAAGTTGTCACCTTCACGTCCAGGGCTGGGGAAATGCGAGTGGTGGTTTGTTTTCACATTTGCATTCCTCTAAAAGTGAAGGCAGAAAACAAATAAGAGATGCATAAGATTCCTGAGAACATGTCATGTTACCCAACAGGTTGGGCAAACGCAATGCATAAAGTATTTATGAGTAAGTTGTTATTGAAATTAATTATTCCCTGATGATCAGTGCCGCAACTAACTAACTGCGTTTTGAGGGTTGATTAATTAGATGCTAATTGAGACAATTTCCCAGCCTGAGAAAGACATCCAATTGTACACTCGTCATCAGGTTTTTACAAGAAATGGAATAAAAGTTTAGAAAGTGAAAATTTAATAAAGTAGCCAAAATATTGAAAGCTAATAACTGATAACAGAATGTCAACAATCAAGTTTCTATCAAGCAGATGATCAGGATTTATGTCAAAAGTAACAACAGCAGATAATATAAGATGGTTCACATTAAATAAACAACTTTAAAAGTTGTATATGTGACATATTTTTCTTGCGCAGTAATATTTCTAGTGGTCGTATATTGAGTACTTAAAATTTAATAAATATGTCAATGAAATAATGTAGATTCCTTTCGCTTGTTAGCATCGTTAGCATTGTCCGCGAACATATCGCTCCTGTAATACTACTCCCACTACGTCGAGAACACCAATAATTGGTTTATGCTGTTTCACATTCGAACATTGCTAATATTTAGCGTAAAAACGATGTGTATCGCTGTATTACTCTCTGCGTGAAATCTGATAGCGCAGCTGTTTTCTCAGCGGCCCTGTGGCTGTGTTAAAGGCATCCATTTGCTGCTGCTATCGACGCTAATTCAACAACAGAATTAGCCACGATAGCTCGTTAGCTGTTTGACAACTCACCCTGGTGTATAGGCTCCGCTTCCCTGACCGCTGATCTTAATTGTGACCACAAAATAGCCCTTGTTTCCCGATCTTTTGTAATCGGCGCCGTCGACGCGAGTTCGACACTAAATATGTCCTGGTTGTGCCGAGTTGTTTTGTTGCTAATCGTGGTAAATTCCTGGGATGTCTGAATGACAAGTAACAGTCAACAAGCTGGACTCAAGCACGGCCGAACTGTTATTTCACAATAAAATACTGCTTGACGTAGAACGTACATTTGACTTACAGGACATATCGCAATAACTGATTCAAAATAAATATTTGATTGACATACACTAGTACTTGTAAATATAATCGCCAGTAATACATTTCCACATTAAACCACCAAAGTATCGTAATATTATTTTAATTTTAAAAGAATACCGGAAATACTTTGTGGAAAACATCAGGTGTCACTGTGGCAAATCTTTTACACGTTGCCCGGATGCAGCATTTCCAGCAAATGTCAGAAATTTTATAGATCCAGTAGAAATGTAAAATCTACAATGTTTAAAAGTGTTTGTCTGCAATGATGTGCATTATGTATATATTGTTTTTTAAGTTATTAGCCTCCAAATAATAAAAGAAAATATACGACTTAATCGTAACCCTTATATATGTATCTATGATTAGTGATTTTCTCATCATCAGTGAGAAAAATATGATCCTAAAAACTTCAACTAAACAATACCAATACACCCAGAAACAACTCGTATAAAGGCCATCAACCTGCCTGTAGAGCACCCCCTGCTGGGCAGTCATATGCTGTGATGGTAACAAAAAAATTACTGCATGCAAACCTTTTAGGGTTTGATATAATTCTTATGTTTGTAAACTTAATTTTTTTATTTTTATCAAAGGTTTTTATAACAAATACAGTACATCCATACAAACAGAATAGCTGGACTAAGTCAAGTTGGTCAAAATTAACTTGCTGATAATAGCCCGAGAATATACACTTTCACACTGGGATTTGCCTGTGGACAAAAATAGCTTCTCCGTCAGTCCCACAGACAAGATAATGCCCGAGCACGTCCAGACTGTTGACTGACAGCGTTTGGCTGGGAAGCATGTGTGTTGTCTCCAGGCGGCTTTTACTGGAGTCTCCGCTCAGCCAGGCGCTGATGATGGACTGGTTTCCTCCAGCTGATGGCATAGCACTGCGAGAGATCATACTGTTGTTTCTGTTCCCTGGAAACACATTGATGAAACATTAGACTGGGAATACTGTGGTTAAGTGTAGAGAAATTATTGACTGTGCCATGACGTGTAACTGAATGATTTTTTTTTAAAAAAACATTTGGTAGAGGGTTTAGATACATGGATTTTCTTTTTGCAGTCGAGTTGGCATTTAGGTACCTTGTAGGAAAGAGGGCAGATCTGACTGTGAAGATGTCTCCCAGTGGAGCAGTGAACCATCCTCTGAGCAGGTGAACATATGGTCTGGGTTGGTTGGATGGAAATGGACCTCCCACACTACAAAAAACAGACGGCATTAAAATTTAATATAGTGACACCGTTCCTTTAACTTAAGAAACATAACAGAACCCTGTTAAAGAAAATCTGATCATGATAAAAAAAAAATCTTACTTTCAGCAGAGTGTGCTTCCATGAGTGAGAAGGGACTGTTGCCTTGTCTGACATCCCAAACACACAGCATGCCGTCCTGACCTCCTGTGGCCACAATGTGCTGCTGGTTTGGATGCCTGTCCACACAGTGCAGAGGAACTCTGTCCCCTGACCTGAACACAATTAACCAGTCAATGTCGCAGGAGCAGAAATTCAAAATGATATCAATGTAATTTTCTTTTTTGTCAATAACATACAAGGAGAAAATCTGTGATGGCGACTTGCTGTGTTGTCTGAGATCCCACATCTTGAGTTGTCCGATGGAGTTCACCGTTAAAATCTCTGTGGTCCTCAGATACGTCACTGCATGGATGGTGCTGCTGTCTGCATTCTCTAATAATGATTTAAAGGTTTAAAAAGTTAGAATCACAAACTGTCACTTAATTATATTCCACGCCTTATCTTACCTATCGTTTGGACCACTCCTTCATGGTCAGCTCTGAACACAACGATCCTGCCATCTTCACCGACAGTCACAATCTCAGGACTGCTGCACACCACGCTGGTACAGGGGGCGCTGTCACAGGGGTATCGATGTGCTCTCGCCCAGTGCTGTGATACTGAGAGAGTCTGTAGTGAGGACGGAAGACAAATTAACTGAGCAGCATCTTTAATAAAAAACTATTTTGCTTCTGCTTAGTGAGGACGGAAGACAAATTAACTGAGGAGCAACTTTAATAAAAGCATTGAGATAATAATGAATTAAAGATTGGGGTGATTGTTGTTTTTCATTCATTTCAAATTCATACCTGAGTGTTTGGGTGGTGGCGGTAGATGGTGACTGCTCCGGTTGATGATGCTGTGACAATTCTGTCTTGGTCGAGAAACTGTCATAAATAAATAAATAAAAAAGTAAAAGGTCAAATGAAAGATACAATGGTTGAAACTGACTGCATGTCGTGGCTTTTATGTTTAATTTAATGGAGACTATCAACACTTACCTGAAGGTCTAAAACATCACCATCGTGTTTGTGTTCACACAGAACCTGTGGATCTCCTTCATTGCCATCATCCATGGCAACGTTTTCATGGTTTCCAATGGACCAGAGGGAAATCTTGTTCTCCTACAAAAAGGCTGAACGTTATCACGCCACTTGAACCGAGGTAACGCACTAACTACTCAACATACAACAGTATTAACTGCACTGCACATTTATGTTGTAAGCGACATAATACTTATTTTTTAAATCATAAACTGGATTTTAAAACAATTCTGACATTTAAAAAGTTAATTTAAACGCCTGATAAAATTCAATTTAAATGTTTAACAAATGGGTTTTTGACGTGAAGTCCACTCCTGTCAACTTTCTTTTACCTCGTTGTCCCACGATCCGGTAGCAAAGATTTCTGGTTGCTGCAACGTCGAATGCGATACAGGTTTCCATCTGGTCTTGCTGATTTTCTGGGACACGTATTTGGCATTTATACTCTCCATCCTCACGACGAATCTCTCAACTTCATTCAATTGTTTTTTTCAGACGCTAGCTTGTTGTAGCTTAATGGTCAGAAGGCGCCTGCTAAACGAAGAAGAACGTCACTACGGCGGCCCAAATGAAACATACATGGGAAAGGCGGATGAAAAAACAGGCCACCGGTGCAACAACGCCACTCAGTGGACTGATGTAGGTACATACATAAAATTCTCACGAAAATAAAGGTTTATAAATGAATACATTTTTGAAGGGCGTGGTATTCTTGGTCAGGGTATTTAATTTTAAAAATATATGTTTATTCTAATAGCTTGGTGATGTAGTAGTAGTTGTGGTTTTATCATGTACAAACTTTACTATTAGCCACTTTATATTCCATGTGTGACTTATTTTTATATAAAAAAATGTGTTGTATATTTATGTTAACTTTGTGATTTTCAAAGTTTAAGCCATATCTCCCCCTGGGAGGAGTGGTGAAAACAAGGTGAGAAAAAAAGATGGAATGACCAAGCAGGACAACTGGTCACTTTTGTTGTGTCATTGTTCGACTGTACATTTTTATGATCCCACAAACCTCAGTTTTAGCACTTTATTGAGTTAAACTACAAGAATCAATACTGGAGTAAACAAAAAAGTGTAGCCATTAGAACTGTTTCTTCTTCAGATTTATTACAATGATAATACATAATTTACATTTATTACTTTTGCACATTAATGTACACCGTTACACGCAAATTAAATGCACAACAATGATGACTCAGACTGTCCTTTTATATTTCCTTTAAAGTTTTTTGTGTAACACATTTTGCTATATATTCTGCTATATTATATTAAATAAAATCACTTTTATTCAATATTTAAGGCTACCACTAATAGGTGTGTTTAGCGCTATCTAGCGGCCACCGCGTTACAGCACCAAATCTGAAAATAGTCTGATTGAGGACTGTGCAGTTTATGCCCTTTCCTTCATTTTGTTTTTCGTGTATGTCCCAAACTTAGCTATTTATTGTGCAGCACACCACGCCCCCGCGGTGCGTACCGCAGTGGAACCACCTCTTGATGTCCGGTGACGTTCCTGCCGCTCCGCAGCCACAACCTCAGCAGCAGCAGCCGTCTCTTTTGGAAGTTGCCAGCTTCCTCGCTAAAACATTCGGCGCAGGCGCGGCACTGACAGCTGCTGTCTACTTGCTCCGCAGAGTCTGCTTAATAATGGCCTGGAAATCCGGAGGAGCCAGCCACGCAGAGCTTGTCAACAACCTCCGCAGTGAGTACACGTGTTTTTCCTTTGCAGTCGGATGATTCCAGCACGGACTGCACCCAGGAAGGATCCGGGTTCAGCATGACAAGGCGCGGGTCAAAAACACGGCAGCAGTGGAGGTTAGCCTCGGTGGCTAACTAGCCGGCTGCTATGCTACATGTATGTTATTGTGGACTTTTCTCCACCCCTTTTACAAATCGAGGCGCGAAAAAGTCACATGCCTTTTGTGTGTCAAAAAAATATTAGTTATCAGTAAAACACGTTACATTTTTTTGAATGCTGTGGTTGTAGAATATTAATTTTGCATTTAGCCGAGCTTGTTAGCTGTATGTGCGTCATTTGGAACGCTGTTAGCTGCGATGCTACAGCTGCCCTGCCCACACTCATTAATGTGAACTGTTCACTTTAGTGAGTGACCCTGACAGCCTTGCAACTTTTTTGTGGGACAGTCAAACAATGCAAATACATTTGTAAAAACTCCTTTGTGAAACATTGGTCGTTAGTTGTTTTTTAAAGGTATAAACAACATATAACTCCCGTCATTTTGATCATGTAAAGGATATGGGAATTGAACAAAACCATCATAGTCTTCAGTTGAGCCAGGAAGGTCAGTGAAAAGTCTGAAAAGTCAACCTGTAGGTGGATTTGTATTGCTGTGGGGATGCATTAGTGCTAAAGGATAGACCCAAAGAAAACATTTCAGTGAGCCTGTATATCTTTATTATTATTCTGAACTGTACATATTTATATAACCACAGTCTTTTTTGTGCATTATCAGCAAAAACTGATAACATTTAAAAAAGTTTTTAGTTTCTTTTTTGTGCATTATCAGCAAAAACTGATACAATTTTAAAAAGTTTTTAAAAAGTTTCTTATGTAGAAGAGTAATAACATTTAAATCTATGAAGAGTCCGGTACCTTGTTTAGTTGCAATATATCACAGCCACCAGGGCTATTTATATTCTTTTCAGCGAGGCTCGGCCCAGCATTGCAGCAGACACCGAAGCTGCAAACATTTCAGTTTCAGAACTGTGACCTGTCTTGTTCAGTTTGTTTAGGAGGTAAAAAAAAAAAACCCTGCATAACTCGCATATTTCACTGCATTCACCTTCCTCTTAACAAATCAGGTCATACGCGTTGATTCTGGCATGAGGGAAGTGACAACAATGTTCTTCTTTAGGAAGTTGCATCCACCTTATCTGCACACGGCTCTTTGAGTCAAAAAGTGAACCAAAATGTTGGTATAGAGGATCTGGTGCAAAGATTTAGAAACGGTACTGCTGAGATATAGGAAGTAACATAACTACATGCTGGAGAAGAAAAAGGTGCCGCAAGAAGTTGTGCTGTCAGACAGACAGATGGGTTCAGAATAGGAATGTGATGATGTCAGAGATCAGACCTGGCCTTATGCCTTCAGTAGCTGACAAATTATGTCAGTTACTAATGATGTCTGATTCATTCATAAACCTGAAGCTAATCAGTGAATTTAGTCAAATGTGTTACATTTTTAACTTGTAGTTTTTTGATATTTCTGCTATTCCTGATTTACACGGAGACTGACCAGTCGGCAGAGGATTGGCTGAAATAAAACCATGAATATTCACCAGCAGTATGCAAAAGAAATAACTCAGAACCGGTCCAATCAGGCCTTTTTACATTTTTGATGTTTTAGTGCCGGGGTGTTTGTTCAAAGAAAATTTAATGTGCCTCAAAGTTGCATGTGAATGAGTTTACAGACTAGAAAAGGTTTGTAGTTGGTTTCTTATTTCTGAGGCCCATAATCTACGCATATATCTCACTGTAATTTAAAAAAAAAAATCACTACTACGTAAGTGTCCATCTGGCAGCCGGTCTTTTTTATTTGTAATGAATCCTGAAGCAGTGCATAGCTCCAAGGGTACAGGGAGTCTGTAATGAGAGCGCGCCGGCTGTCGCTGGCGTTTCCCGCCTTTGGCAACAACTGCTACAGGAACCTGTTGGAAAGGATTATTCTAAAGACATAAAGTTTAATGTCTTCTGCACTGAGGCGTTCTTTTATTGCTTATTACGTACGTGTGGATCTCTGTGAACCTGTTCATCTCAAATACAAGTGTGAATCTCTTCATGTCAAGCCTGTGTGTCAATGACCTGTTCAGTTTTGGGAAAATTGCCCACGTGAAACACTACGTTACACTTGTTGTTTATTGGCTGCGGTGCAAACATCTGTCGTGGAAATGTAACATTTGTGCCTTTACAACAGTGGTACAGATAAAATCAGTTCCCTTTAGCCTCTGCCCGTCTGACCCTAAGGTGGACATAAGGTTGTGGGTTGTGTATTCACTCAGTCTGGAGCAACATGATAAGTAAAAGAATATGAAGAGGTATTCACTCAGTCTGGAGCAACATGATGAGTAAAAGAATATGAAGAGCTTGATGTACAAGGTCAACACTCACCCCTCGGTGTGTTGCAGGAAGCCTTTGATTTTTAAAACCATTTTACACACATTTGTGGTTATAATCCATTAAGTTGTAGCATCATAAATTATAGCATCTGGTTTGACCATTGTTAGCTGTTGTTAGCAAATGTCCAAAAGTCATTCTGCCGATGACTCACTAGAAAAAGGTGACGTCAGAAAGCAAGTTAGCAAATGCTAATCCAGAAGCTAAATTGTTTTTTTTTTATTTTTGCATCTTTTATCAACTAATTAAGAAAACAAAATGTTAGACAGTCAAAGCTCAAATGTTTTTTCTAACTGCTTATTGACGGCCATCAAAGTGACTAAGTTTCATTTTTGTTTTATTTGCATCAACAGAAAATGGCATTATCAAAACGGACAAGGTCTATGAAGTGATGCTGGCCACAGACCGCTCTCATTTCTCTAGATGTAACCCTTACATGGACTCGCCCCAGTCAATAGGTACAGCAGGTTGACTCATTCAGTGTGGGATTAAAAATAATCTGAAGGAATAAACAAAATCAAACTGTGCTTTTCCTCCTTCTCTCAGGTTATCAAGCAACTATCAGCGCCCCACACATGGTAAGAAATAGACTCCCGTTTTTGTTGTCGCTCCTATTCAGTCATTGAGATAACGGCTAAAATCGACCAAAGAAAAATCTGTCACAATGTTTTTTTTATCTGATCTAATTATATATCTTCTGTGGTTTAAAAAAATGTCTTTCTCTTCATTTTGTTTATGAAGAGAGTGGTGTCCACCATGTGATCTTTTATCATAGTTGTAACTGTCTTTCTGTTATCATTTCCTTGTTTAGTTAATCATTTTTATGTCATAAAATACTGAGAAAAAAAACATGGCTTGTCGGTACAAAAAACAAAAGTACATTCAAATATAAATCAGTTGAGAGTAGAAAAAGAAAGACCTCAAATTATTTTTAAATTCATTTTGAATATTTATACTTTTTAAGACATTGCTTTGAATTCTCTTTGCCTTCTTCCTCCTCTCAGCATGCCTATGCACTGGAGCTTCTCCATGACCAGCTGCACGAAGGAGCCAAAGCTCTGGACGTGGGCTCGGGCAGTGGGATTCTGTCTGTCTGCTTTGCACGTATGGTGAGTTCAGCGGTGGTTCAACATATGTCATTTGGCTGCGGTCGTTTTTTTGGTGCGTTCTTCACGCACTGTTGTACACGTTACAGGTAGGACCTCGAGGAAAAGTCATAGGAATTGATCATATTAAGGAGCTGGTGGACGATTCTATAAACAATGTGAACAAAGATGATCCCAGTTTGATAACATCAGGTCGAGTCACACTCATTGGTGAGTCACAGGTGAACATTTATGTGATGTTAAGCCTGCTTTATGGCAATTATATTTTTATGTAAGAATGTGATGATGTTTGGTTTTTCAGTGGGAGACGGTAGAAATGGCTACAAAGAGGAGGCGCCGTACGACGCCATCCACGTGGGAGCAGCAGCACCCAACGTCCCCAAAGCTGTGAGTCTCTCTGAAGAAGTGTAATAAAATCTATGCGTCACAGTTTTTTCTAACTCCTCCTCTCCTTCTCTCAGCTCCTGGAGCAGCTGAAGCCCGGCGGTCGCCTCATTCTCCCTGTGGGTCCGGCGGGAGGAAACCAGATGCTGGAGCAGTACGACAAGCTGGAGGACGGCAGCACCAAGATGAAGCCCTTGATGGGGGTGATTTATGTGCCTTTAACAGACAAAGAAAAGCAATGGTCCAGGTGGAAGTGACTTCCTTCTCCCTCCTTTCCCTCCCTCTCTCCTTCTCACAGTGGAAAAGGTGAAACGTTGTCTCTCAGAGCAGGCCGGGGATCCAAAAAAAGCCCCGCATTTTTTTGCTCCATACCATAACTACTGGCTGCACGTTTCCTCCATCTTTTTTTTTTTTTAACCCCTTGCGCCTTGTTTCCACCAGGTTTTGTTTCGTGGTGGTACTTTTTAGACCATTTATTTTATTTAACACATAATAGATTTGTTATTCATTATTCGATAAATGTTGATTTAGCTTGAATAATCATGATAAATATGATCAAGATCAAGAATGATTCATCTGATGCTACTGTACAGCATCCTGTGATTAATAAATTTAAAATTTGATCAATTGACAGGACTGGTAAAACTACAAGCAGCATCAAATGTAAATACCAGCAAGAACATTCAATAAGTTAAAATGCAGGACATGCAGTTCCATTTGCTCACCCGCAGAGGGTGCTGTTACCCCAACCTACCTGCCCTTTCTCATGATGCAGTCTGGATCTTTAACGTTTTTTTAACGTTTAAACAAACCTGACATCCATCTGTTGTGATGTCCTTCCATCTACTGCATATAAAATTTAAATTTAAAAATATATATGTCCTATTATATAGATTATATTCCTTGTAAATTGGGGTAAGTATATGTGAATTCTACATCACACTGAACAGTTGTTCTAAAGTGGAGAGTCCGAGGTGGTTGATAATAATTATAATGACTAAAGAACAGTTTTTCTTTCCAAAGGAAACAGCTGTGTGGAAACAAGGTATCGGTTTGAAATTTGTCCGATAAAACCTGCCTGCCAAATACAATTTAATTTCTTTTAAAGCATGGTGACTAAATTTTTGACAACAACAATGAGAGTATTCACCATTTGCCTGAGTATCATGTTTGACCTTTTACTCTGGAGAAAGAAAAAAAAATACACTATAGTATGTTTGGATTTGTTTGCTACAAAGTAATCCAAGTGTTGTGCATGTTCCTAACTTTTTTTGAAGTTTGCATGACACTAAGAAAGTTGAATTTCTTTTCTCAGATGCTCTTCATTTCCCTCCTCTCTAACATCTGGCTTGTGTTTCTCCACAGGGACGAACTTTGAAGAAAAATAGTCCACCATCCACCGTTAGAAATCTTGAACCTGGAGGAGGAAACGCACATGAGGGGGGGTGACGGTGACACATAACAAAAACATGCTCTTTTTGTTTAAGTCGAACACGGACGGACTGACGAGAGAAACCACACTAACGTCGGCGCGGAGCAGCTGGAAGACGAAGGCTTGAAGCTCTGTGCAGGAGAAATGCAGAGTGTTCAGTGTTTTTTTTTCTGCAGGTGTGCTTTTTTGTTCTATTTTTAACTGCTGGATGTTTTTTCCATCAGCCATTTTTTTTTACAGCCACATTTACACAGAACATTTCAGCAGCGTTAAAGCTGAGTGTAGGAGTCATGACGACGCAGGACAGCGTGGAAGAGGCGGGACTTGATGGATTCACCTACTGACAGTATTAGGCACACACACACATAAACAACAATGGCTGATGTAATTCACATACATATGCTATTTAATATGCAGCACATACTTGAGCATTAGTCCAAAGAGAGCAGAGCACTAAAAAGACAGGCTGCGCTTTCTCCACCTGCTGATGTGCTGCTTTCAGATTTGATTTTTTGTTTGTTTTTCCTCCATTAACGTCTCATGTACAGTCTTCTCTGGTGGCTCATTAAAATAAGAAAAAGTGGGAAAAAAAAAAGTCACTGCTTTGCCAAAATAGCAAAACGAATGTGTGTTTTCATGGGGGAAAAAATAAGAATTCAATCAAAAAAAGCTACAGAAAATTAAGATAAAAAGAAAAACAAACACTTTATTTTGGGGTGAAGTTAGTGATGGATGACTTCTGTCGTTTACAGGCAAATTAAATAGAAAGATAGGCTTATGTTTTTGTCTGTTCTTTAAAAACAAATTCAAACTCACTAAACACAAACTAAAACTAAGGATTTTCAGACATTTGTCAGTGAATGTGAATTAGACTGAGAGATAATGGGAGAAAAAGTTCAGTTTTGTTGGAGAAACTTGTGAAGGACACACAGACCAGGCTTTTGTACTTTTATTATCTTTATTTTCTGACAGGACAGACACCACTTTAGAGAACAAACTTCTCTTCAAACACAGGAACTGCACAAATGTTTTTTTTCTGAAAATCACTTCTATCTGAAATCGATTTTAGGTCAGCATTTACGTGTGAATTTGATGAGATTCACTTTGAAACAAAAGGTCCGCAGCGGGAATTTTTAAAAAAAAAAAAAAAAAGTGCCTCACTGTCAGAGATTTCAGAAATATCAAGCAATGTCGCCCCCTGGTGGCTAAAATACAATATGCGGCTTCCGTCTTCGATAAAAAATTTCAATTGATCAAAACAATAATTACAACAAAACGATAACTTAGCCTCACACAGCAGAATATACATACAGTACTATGTCACTACTGAAGTAATAACAATTTCCAGGCAATAAGGTAAAAATCAAGCGTCTGTGTTTGATTTCAACAACAGCAGCGGATGTAAAGTCAGAGGCTCAGATGTGAGTTTGTTGATAAAGATCTGTCTTCAGGTTTGTCCAGTCTGACTAGTCTGAGTCCAAGTGCATAAAGAACACGTGTTCATGGGTGTTAACTGTTAAATACTTGAAAAATATTCAAATTATGAAGTGTTTTACAGTGACGACAGTCTGTATCTAAAGGTGCATTCAGACCTGGAATCTTCACTGTCTGTGTGTGTTCTGATCACCGTGGATGGACTGACAGAGTCTCCAGTTGACAACCACCAGCTGGATTGGATTGGCTACAAGTACATGCCGTTGATGAGGTAATCAGATTCCTCTGTGGTGAGGGGCCGGGCCTTCCTTATCTTGTGACGAACCAGTCGGATACGGCAGCCGATGATAAAGAGGAGCAGCAGAAAGGCGGTGATGATGAGTCCCAGCGTTAGAGGAAGGATCGCACCTTTAAAAAAAAAAAAAAAAGACCAGGAGTCGGTCACTGTCTGTCTTCAGTGAAATGGTCGCAAACATTCCTCAAGGTCAGATGTACCTTTTGGATACAAAAATGGGATAAAAATGCTACAACTGACCTGACTGAGGAACTGGATGATCTCCGTGTACTGGAAATGCTTTGGAGACAGGAGGGTTGCTCTCTGTCTGGTCCTGGGAGACTTTGGACGTGGCTGCAACAGACGTATGAGATCAAAAGAGAGCACAACAGGAGACGACAGTGTCCCACAACGTTGTCAATCAAACCGTGCACCCACCTGTTTCTGTCTGTTTGGTGACAGCAGGAGCCGCAGTGCCTGGTTTGAACGACGGACCTGAAAAATGATGTGCACGTATAGCATTCAATAATCAATATCGAAATGAGTTATCTAAGTCATTGCAATTAATCGTGATTAATTGACAGCTAGCAGCCCTGATTTTTATATTTAAAGTAAAGTATGGAGAGGTCTCACTTTTCTGTATACATTCACTGACGCAGTCTGATTCCTGGAGGAAGTTGTTGTGGTTTCCCTGACAGCCACCGTACAGGAAGTGTTTGCACTCTCCAGCGTTCTGATCATAATACCAGCGGGGGAAACTTCCTTTGCAGGGTCCAACGACCGGAGCTGCAGCACATGGGTCTACAGAAGAAGAGGAGCAGAACCAGACACACCTTAAGTTGTGTTAAAGTCTCTGTTTTTTATTTTTCTGAAATATGAACACACTGCTCAATAAATGGCTGAACCACTTCAGCTGCTTCATGAGCAGCGACTAGTCAGGTCTGGGCCAGAAGAGCTCCTTCAACCAGGAGGATAAATATTACCAAATGGCCTTTCGTTTTGACTTCTCTCATCGTGACTAAACCTGGTTCCTCTGTCAAATAAACCTGTGGTAAGAAAAGCAAAAAGTTGGGGAAAAAATACGAAGCAGGACTCTGACTGAAGGATCAGGTGACATTCAGGACAGAGGAGCTTTGTTCCAGGGCTCACAGAGATCTGGAGCATGGAGCTGGGTTGTTTTTTTTTATTTTTTCCTCTTCTTTCCAGAGGAGCTCTGTGGCTCTGCCTGGATTTTCAGCTCAGCACTGTGGTTCAGTGGTCGACGACGGCGGCCCCATCCGCTTTATGCCTGACTTAAT